GTTTTCTGGTTCTTAAAATAAAGTTTATTTAATGGGAAAATTCACAACACAAGCTTATTATAGTCTTGAAGATTTAATTTTTTTTTTTTTTTGCTGTATATCATCTATTCACATTTTCCTTGGCACTCTTCTACCGCATTTCTACCACAGTGTGTCACGTGGAAATAAACAAAAGAACGAAATGATTGAATATGAAAAAATATATATATTGAGAATAAAAGGAAGGTAAATAATTATCTTCATTATTTTTTTCCTTCTTGTTTTCCACTTCTGTCTTTCACAGCACACCGACACTCGAAAATTCCTCCGGACAAGGAATCGCAAAGACAGCTGACAAGGACAAAAACGCCGTCGGAAGAGAAACAAAAAATAAAATCATAAGAAGAGTGTGATAAGGGGATCCGTGTGAGCGAGAGAGAGGGACTCGACAATCTCCCATTTTCCACTCTTTCCGCCGCACAACACACACTTCGCCCCTTCCGAGGGCTCCGTACCTGTCCCTTTTGAGCGCACGCAGCGAGAGACGCCCTTTATCCCCGTGTCAAAGGGTGAAAACACACAAAATTCTCCCTAAGAGTGAGTAAGGGTGGAAGGCTCGCTCCCTTCCATTACACTTTGCGACGTTGCCACATCCCCCGGGCTCTCGCCTTATTTGAAGTTGCTTCCTTGCCTTCGCCTTCGCCGTGCTCGAGCTTCTACCTCTCGGGGGATTATTTGGGCCACCTGGGTCTCGTGTCTCGGTCTGGCAGGGCTTTTCTAGAGGGGAATTACCGCTAACAGGAGGGAAGGACTGTCTGCCATTCGGACACTTGGCATATGTTTGTCAGAATGATGTCTCAACTGTTTTACATATCAGAGAGTAATTAATGCCTTTTGCGCCGTTGATGGTTCCTTATGTACCGGCGATGTGTGGAAAAAAGGAAGACACATGTAGGAAGGTTGTGGGAACTAGTTTATAGGGCGGACTAGGAGCGCAGAGGATGTGCGTTCTCAGGCGTCTGGATGTGCGTGATGGCGGGGATTTTGAAGTGGACATTTCCTATGACGCATTCCTACATGGCATTTCTACGACACATTTCCCAAGATACACCTCACATCACAACTGAAATATACCCTCAAAGGTATATTTCATACGATGCACGATTCACGAGATAAACAACGATATATATTTCCCAAGAGACAGATTGCACAAGAATATTTTCCTTTCTCAAGATAAGGCCAGCGCCTACTTCATTTCCGGGGAATACATGACTAAAACTGTCAACTCGGAAAAACCAGCGATTCTTATGCTATTTCATACCTTATAATATTCTGATAAAACGTCTTCCATGTTAATTTCATGTTAAACAATCAAATCTGACATGTAATTTTGATGATAACTACATATGGAAAACACAAATGAAAACAGGAGAGAAAAGTGATGATCTATGTTAAACGTGATGTTTATGGAATACGAGTGATTATCATTACAAATATTACTTATGTCAATATTACTGATATAAGAAAGATTATAATCACACCAAGAGGAAGAAAATTACTCAAAGTTGTAATACAAAATATATGTAAAAGTATTAAAACGATAAATGAAAACAATAATAGTATGAACAATTATGATAGAATTAATGATGATGATCATATGGCAATAACGATAAAATGATGATAAACACATGAACAACTGCAACAACAGCAATAGTAATATTGATGATGAAACTACCACTACGAATGAATAATAATGACGATGATGATGATAACGATTATGATGATGATGATAATGATGATGATGATGATGATGATGGTGATGATGATGATTATCATTGCTATACGCATACTCATTATATATCATGATTGTTAAAATTATAATAATGGTAATTAATAAATAATATAATAAAGATGATGATGGCGACAATAATAATAATAATAATAATAATAATATAATAATAATATAATAATAATAATAATAATAACAACAATAATATGATGATAATAACTATAATGATAATGATAATAATGGCAATTATGTAAACAATGCTTAAAAATGCAATAACAAATAACTGATTATAACTGATTATAACAAATTTTGAAAATGATAATCATAACCAAAATAACAATGATAATATTTCCCATAATATGATATCTATAACATAACAATGATGATGTGGATATTGTGAAAACAATTAAGGTGATAATATGATGATAAAAAGAAGAAAAAATACAATAATAACAAAAATGAGACGATAATGAAATATATTAATGATAATAACAATAATAATGATAATAATAGTAATAATGATAACAATATATATAATAAATAATAATGATATAATGATAATGATAATAATAATAACGATAATAATAATAATGATATATTAATAATAATGAATAATATTATAATAATAATAATAATAATAATAATAATAATAATAATAATAACAATGCTCATAATAGTGACGATAATAATAATGATCCTAATATTATTAATAATAACAATAATAATAAAAATACAATATAAAATTAATATGACAATAACAATAATGATAATAAACAATAATAATGATAACAAAAATAACAATAAAACGACGATCAATAACAGGAGTACTACGAATAAGTATATAACGATTGTAAAAAGATAATAAAAGTTATAATCACGACAGAAATGATAATCCAAAATGATTATGAAATGGGTGCATGGTCGCCATTTCGCACAAATGTAAACAAAGGGGAAAAAAAATATCGACCTTGGATCTTTTGCGGGACAAGAATGCTCTTTATAGTGATGAGGAAAATAGAATATAGACTTGAGATGATTTGCAGGTGGAGAAGAATGCTCTGAATGGTGATTAGGAAAAGGAAATAGATAAATAAATAAATAAACGTTTTAGTCGTTGGTTGTGGAAAATTATCTTGGTTAGAGATTACATTTTGGCCTTAAAATATATACCGTCAAGTAATTCAAAAATGCAAACACGTAATGATGATCGTAATTAAAAAAAAAAAAAAAAAAAACACGTAATGATGATGGTGATGATGATAGTGGAGGTGATAGTGATGATGATTTAGATGATGGTGATAATGATGATGTTGATGATGATGGCGGTGATGATGATGGTGATAATGATGATGATGGTGATTGTGATGGTGATGAAGGTGAAGGTGAAAATGGGGAAGATGGTGACTGTCATTACCATTATATCCATTACGGTGATAATGATAATGTTTTATTATAACGGTAATAAAAATGTTGATAATGAAAGTAACAGTAACTACTACAACAACAATAATAATAGCGGTAATGATAATGATGATATGGCTACGATGATTATGATAATGATGATGCTAATGATGATGATGATAACAATAATAACGATAGGAATAATAGTAGTAGTAGTAGTAGCAATAATAATAGTAATAATAATAACAATAATCATAATAACAATATTAATAATAATAATAATAATGGTAATAATAATGAAAACATTAATAATAATGAAAACATTAATAATAAATGGTAATAATACTAACAACACCACCATCTTCATCCTAACAATAATGACGATGATTATAACAATAACAATAAAGATATAAATGATAACGTCAATAATTAAAATAACATAATCATGATAACATCAGTAACGATGGTAAGAATAATGACAATTATTAAGATACAATTAGACCAACAACCTAATAACTTGATAACAATTATACTGAATAGATTATGTTCCCAACAACAACAAATCAGCAAAGAACAATAACAAGAACAACCTTAATAACAATTCTATCCACAACAATAATAACAACGGTGATTAAAACAACGCCAAATGATATCCATATCCCAAAAGGATAAAAAACTAAATAAAAAATATAAAAATAAATAAAAACATAATAAATATAAAATAAAAAACATAAAAAACTAATTAAAACATAATAAAATAAAAAAACAAAAGATATACATTTAAAAAACATAATAAAATATAAATAAAAAAACATAATAAAATATAGAGTAAAAAAAAAAAAGAAAAAAAAATATATATATATATATATATAAAACATAAAATATGAATTAAAAACATGATAAAATATAAATAAAAATAAATAAAACATAAATCATAAAAAATAATGAAATAATAAGAAAACATAATAAAACATAAACTCCTAAAAGAAAAACATAATAAAATATAAATAAAACAAAAGAAGGAAACGTTTTCGGCGAAGCGCGACGGAAAGTAATCGAAGTCCACATCACCATTTTATCTCTCTCTCTCTCTCTCTCTCTCTCTCTCTCTCTCTCTCTCTTCTCTCTCTCTCTCTCTCTCTCTCTCTCTCTCTCTCTCTCACCTCTCTCTCTCTCTTCTCCTCTCTCTCGTCTCTCACTCTCTCTCTCTCTCTCTCTCTCTCTCTCTCTCTCTCTCCTCTCTCTCTCTCTCTCTCTCTCATCTTCTCTCTCTCTCTCTCTTCTCTGTACCTCCTCTCTCTCTCTCCTCTCTCCTTCTCTCTCCCTCCCTTCTCTCTCCTCTCTCTCTCTCTCTCTCCTCTCTCTCTCTCTCGCTCTCTCTCTCTCTCTCTCTCTCTCTCTTCTCTCTCTCTCTTCTTCTCTCTCTCTCTCTCTC